GTTTGGTGGTCAGTCGGTGCTCAACTACACCCTGCTGGCTATATACTTGGACAAGATAGAGGTGAGATAGATAGATAGATAGATAGATAGATAGATAGATAGATAGAGAGAGAGAGAGAGAGAGAGAGAGAGAGAGAGAGAGAGAAAGAGAGAGGGAGAGAGTGCATGCATGTGAAGGAAGGGGAAGGGGCGACGTAGGAAAAAAAAACTTAAAGAGGGAAGCTGAGGAGCAAGTCAAGGTCGTTTGACTCCCTGAGCAACAATATTGCTCTCTAAGTCTCGTCGTAGAATTTTCTACGATTTAACGAACTTGTCGCGAGGACAGAACAGAATTTTTACGCCAATATTTTTTTGGGTGTATTTACTCCGTTGAAGAATCCTAGTAGTAGATATAATATATTATGTACATGTTTCAGGCCCCCACTGACACAATTTATTTCATTAAGGAGGCGGGCTACTTCGATACCCCTTTTTTAGCAGAGGTTTTACGCCGGTCGCAACTGCATAAGTTCATGTGAGCGCCTGAAGATTGGAGGTGTTACAAGAGAGTAACAAATTTAACATAAAAAAGAAGAAGGGGAGATAAGGACGGTAGATCTTTGATAGGAAAGAAGGAGCAAACCACACCAGAGCACCCGCCAACCACCTACCCTTCGATACTGCCTATCAGGACCAAACCGAGTGAGAGGAATAACGTGTACTAGATCTACACATCAGCAGAAAATGGAGATAGAATCTACATGTCATGTACTCGATACAAATTCTCCCGTCTCGGGAAACAAACTCAAGTCTTTTGCGTGCGACGACAGAGCGCCTAGCTGTTATTCCCTCAGGCACCGGTTATCGGATAAAGTCTTCTTTTGATACAGTTTGCATATAATATACATTTGTATTATCATATTGAGAATCTCAGTGAGATCAAGACAAACAGTCCCACTAATGTAAGTATGCTAATCTCCTTATGCTTCGAGTCCCCCTTGACTTCTCTGACTTCATAGGTTTCCACCCGCTCTCCCGACCACTCGCCAACTCCCTTCCTCCCTCACATGAGGGATAGACCTAGGTTGGGTTTTTTCCCCCCCTTAGTACGGTACAGAAGAGTTCCCTTAAAATTAAAATGAAATCTGAATTTCTTCGATACAGCTAGGTCTTCGGTTTAGAGATCAGATCACTTAAGTCAAGGAAATCTCTCCCCGTAGTTTTATGCACCCTGTATAATTTAGCAAAATTCGACCATTTTTTTTTAACAATTTCTGATTATTTTTCTTTATCATTCTTTGTTAAAATTAACAGAATCGCATAATTTCACATTTTTGGGCTCAGTTTGCATAATTTCATTTTTTTTCCCATAAAACCACGGAGACATGGAAATAAAAAATCGGGGATTTTACTTTCATTTGGTTTACCGCTGTTTTCACATAAACCGTGTTCGTTTTGGTTTTTTAAAAGTAAGAGTTTCACGGCCCTCACAACACAAATAAGTCATATATAGGTGCCGACGTTTAGATGTGTCCCTTTATAAAGACTCAAGAGTAACAAAGAAAAGGAGGAGTGATAAGGACTATAGATATTTGAAAGGAAAGAAGGAGCAAAGTCAAAGTGCACCAGACCACACACCAACCTCCTACAACCGGGTTCAGTTTGAGTCGGACTCTTCTATAGTACCTGTCCATCGACGTCTGTGCTCTTTGCCCTGCTCGTAGTCCTTGAGAACGTGAGTTCGATTCCAAGGTGCGAAGATACGGTTCTTTGTGGTTGTTGTTTTTTTCGAGTATGTCCGCCTGGGTGCTGAAATATTTTCGTACACAAGCCTGGGTTGCAGCACACCCCCATAAA